AAGATTCATGAGATATACACCCAACTTTATCATCCAGACAAAATACAGTTTTTAACTCCCATTTCATGGAAGTAACAATTAGTTTGGACTCTAAATTAAGCTGTGTTTTTAATAGTGGCAAACTTTGCTCATTCAGTATTATGGTGGCAACAGCCTTCAAGATCACAGTTCAGGATTAGAAGGTTCTTTCTATATATTAAAGGTCATATTATATATATTTTAGTGAGATTAGGTGAACAAAAAACTTCAGACACTGGAAAGTTAAAACGTCCATACCTCTGCCTGTTGTTGTTGTCTCCTGCCCCACCAGACTGGGTTACAGTCTACGATCACCACCATCAAGTTTTCCTCTCCTGAAAATGTATGAGTAGGAGAATTTCTTTCTTGGCACTGTTTCTTACATAACAACCCGTTACATATACTATAGAGCAAACCAACGTGTAGAATGGAATCAACAAAATCTTGACTGTAGGGTCCTTAATTATTAAGGTTACTTTATTTCATTACGTTGATACTTTAGATTTGGTAAGGTTGGTTTCTCAAAATTAATTCTATAACTTGTTATATGTATTTTCTTTATATATTTCATCAAATACTAAAAAATAGCAATGTTTTTCGGAGATTTTACGTTGTGTACCAAAAGTTGGTTTTGCGCATTGACTTACATACTTTTTCTGTCGTTGAAGCGATGAGGAAAATTTAAGGCATATAATTTTGACACATGATTTACAGATGCAGATGCATAGACATGTTGGGAGGGGGGCGACGGCTTTACCCCGTATTAGCTCCGTATTGACCACATTCGCGACCCAACCGTCGTACTTATCTGTAGGCAATAGTTCCCCATTACTAACAAAAATCGTACTGCCTGCATAAAATCCGTATCAATGCAACAAAGCAGAAGAAAAAACACCAAACTCCAACACTCGCAACTTTTTCCGACCTACCTTCCGCCATGTTGTTTTGCCATGTGACCAATACCGAAGACATTTCATCAAAGTCAATGTGATTGGTCAACGACGAACGTCTTCTATCCAGCTAGCCAATGAAAACTGTTGTTATGAAATAGGTGTTGAATCCTTCCCATGGTCCAGTGCGAAACATGTGTACATTTTGTCTTGCAACACTGAGGAAATTTTGGTTGCAGCATATATTTGCCGTCTTGACAGTATCCAACTCTCAAACTTAACAATACAGAAACGTTCCTGATTTTGGTAGGTCAGAAAAAGATAGAAAAGATGAACAAAGAAGGTAGGTGGCACATTTTACATATCTTGGATAATTTGAACAGATGTAAGAAACAGGAGGAGCCAATATTCACTCATAAACTTTATTTTTGTGGTAGTAACAATGCACAATTCATTTGATACATAGTGTATCATATGTGGTTTAATTGTGCTTTACCATAAGGGAGTAACTTTTTTGGAGGGGTGGGGATTTGTGTGTCAGTGTGTGTGTGTGTGTGTGTGTATGTGTGTGTGTGTGTGTGTCAGTGTGTGTGTGTGTATGTGTGTGTGTGAGTGTGTGTGTGTGTGTGTCAGTGTGTGTGTGTGTGTGGATGTGTGTGTGTTTGTTCGTGTGTGTGTTTGTGTGTGTGTGTGTGTATTTGGAAGCCTTCAAGGATCACAAAGGGGCTGAAGTCTGCCATCTCTTGTTTGACATACTTACTCCTGTTTTTCAGAGATCCTTGAACAGTTTATCCGATGTCAACAGGAGAGTCCACAGATGTCAGCAGCTGTGGCAGCTATACATGTACTCATGCTGTTCCTCAAACAGAACACAGGTGAGGTGGTAATAAGGTAGTCTCTACTAGACTAACTACGCTGGCTATACATGTATATAGGACTTTTTAGGAGAATATTTGCCGGGGGAGTTTGGCCAACTTGGGGTTGACTGGGAAAGATTAACTACCTCCCTGCGGCAGGACTCCCTTGGCCCATTTTATTCTCTTTTTTGCCGAATTCTACGATCCGTTTTCCCGTAGAAAGGCCTGGTGGAGGCTAGTAATAAGGCTCTATAGCTAGCAGTGCCTGTTAAAATTTTTCCGTCAATTGCTGGCACTTTGCGACATGTGGAGGAATTTTTTCTTAACAAATTGGTCAACCTCAATCCGGATAAAATAGACAAAATTCTTAGGTAAAAATATAAAAACATCCAAAGGACCAACATCCTCCTTCGCAGGGCTAAAATCCTCCGGTTCCCTTCCGGTTTTAGCCCTGCTATTTACCGCTGACAGTTTGACTTCTGGTGACGTCACTTATAAATAATTCATGAGCTTGCCTTATTTGGCACAAACCAATCAGATGTCGGGGGGCTTGCCCTAACTCTGTCTCGGCTTTGGCCAGGGCTTTGGCCGCTGCTGGGAAGCCCATATAGCACAGGCTCTTCCCTCCTCCTGTCCGCACACTCAGAAAAACGTCTCTGCCATCAAGCAGCGCCCGTAGCATCGACTGCTGATGCTCACGAAGCCGCTCGACTCCAAATAAATCTTGCACGGCTCGCACGAAACTTCTAGTATCTGTAATAGCCGCCATCTTGGCCTGTCCCAACATGTAACCTGATTGGCTAATAGGTTCCCAGCGACCTTTGCGGTTTTTGCGCAAAGCTCG